ATCTGTAATGTTCCAGGTGTTGTAATGTAATACTCAGTTTCTCAAACAAGTGTATGCCTGTCTGTTGGTCCACTTAGGAATCTTGATCCTGGTTGTGTGGTGGTTTGGTGTAGTGGTTAATTGTGCGGACTCTAATCTGGGAGAACCGGGTTTGATTCCCCACTCCTCCACTTGCACCTGCTGATGTGACCTTGGGTCAGTCACAAGCTCTGGCACAGCTGTCCTTGAAAAAGAGCAGTTTGTGTCAGAGTTCTCTCAGCCCGACCCACCTCACAGGGTGTCTGTTGTGGGGAGGGGAAGGGAAAGGAGTTTGTAAGCCGCTCTGAGACTCCCTTGGGTAGTGAAGGGTGGGGTATAAATCCTATCTCTTCTTCTTCTTCTTGTGTGGTGGGCTAGTTGTGGCAAATGGTAGGGAAGCTCAGTATTTCTGTATACAGTTGTAGGGGCTTTATTGCAATGTGGTATGGCCTGATATTATGTTCTTATTCCAGTGTGGGGTGTGGGGGGGGGCTTTCTAAGTTTCTAAGCAGTGTTCTAAGAAGGCAACTGTTCCTGGGGTTAGCCCAGCCCAGGGACATTGCTAGGGCGGTTCCCAGGCCTCCCTAAATTTCTGGGGAGCCCATCCCTAAATCCCAAATGGGTCCACCTCCATAGATAATGACCATGCCTGTGATGTCACTAGCTCCTCCCTATGATGTCATTGGGTCCCAGTTCTTTTAATTACTTAGCAATGCCTCTGGCCCAGCCCCAGCCCCCCCCGGAAAATTGGAAAGTCTACGCCCTTGCTGTTAACACAGTCATTTTTGCTGTGGAGACCACCTTGAGCCACTTGGAATAAGCGTCCACTATGATGAGGAAAACCTGGCCCTGAAAGGGCCCCGCAAAATCCACCTGAATCCTGAACCAGGGCCGGTGACAGTTATCCCATTGGGTTAACGGGGCATGCGGAGGATCCGGCCGGGACAACTGGCATTCATCACATTTCTGGACACAGGACTCTATGTCCGCATCGATTTTCGGCCACCAGAAATACCCTCTGGCTAGTCCCTTCATGCGTACGATGCAGAGGTGGCATTCGTGCAGTGCCACTAACACTTGGTCCCGTAGCTTGGGGGGAACCACCACCCTGTTTCCCCATAGTAAGCATCCACGGTGCACAGACAGTTCATTTTGCCGTGATGCAACGGCTTGAAGCTTGCAGCGACGCACCCCACCGGCCACCCCCTCCACACCCAGTTAAGAACCCTGGAGATGGTGGGGTCCCTGGCGGAGGCGGTCGCAATGTCCGATGCGTGCACCGGAGATTTGGCCAGTCCCTCGAGGGCCATCACCTCGAAAGCCAGTGCAGGGTCATTGTCCAGTTCTGGCAGGGGGCAGCAGCATGCCCCATGTTCTTTCCAGGCCAGTGCTCAAGGACATAGTCATAAACTGATAGAAATACCATCCAGCACAACATCCGTGCTGACAAAACGTTGGGCGTCTGGTGCAAAGATCCCAAGGAGGTGCTTGTGGTCCGTGGCCATTACAAACGGTCTGCCATAAAGAAAGTCATGAAACGTCTTCACCCTGGCCACTAGCACCAATACCTCCTTATCGATTTGGGCATAGTTTCTCTCAGCCGGGGTGAGTGTCCGAGAGTAGTACGCGATGGGCGCTTCCCTGCCATTAGCCAGCACATGGCTCAACACAGCCCCCACCCCATACGGAGACGCGTCCACAGCCAAGACCAGTTGCTTAGATTCGTCATAGTGGGTAAGAACATCGTTGGATGACAACAAAGATTTAATAGCCTGAAAAGCTCAGTCGTGCTGAGGGCCCCACTCCCACTTCGCCCCCTTGTTGAGAAGGCGATGTAACAGCTTGGCAATTGACGCTTTATGCGGCAGGAAGGCGTGATAAAGATTTAAAATTCCTAAGAAGGATTGCAGCTCCTTCTTATAGTCCGGTCTCGGGGCGCTTTGGATGGCCCGTACCTTTCCTGCAGTAGGGTGGACACCATTAGCGTCGATTTGGAACCCCAAGAATTCTACGGTGGGTACTCCCAAATGACATTTGGCTCTTTTTACCTTTAACCCAGCCTCTTGGAAATGGCGTAACACGGACTTGAGGCATTCTGCCAGTTCGTCCTCTGACCGGCCGACAATCAATACGTCGTCGAAATAGGGGACCACCCCTGGCAGGTCCCTTAACAAACCCTCCATTAGGCCTTGGAAT